CCACCTGTGTCCCAGGGTATATTAGATATCTACCACTGTGGAATAAACTACCCCAAAATGTAGTGACTGGAAACAACATTTGTTGTCTTAGATCTATTTCTGGGTCAGAAATGCACATGCAGTTCAGGAGCACCCTTTGGTGCAGAGGCTCCTGTGAGGCTGTGCTGAAGAAGCAGGCTCGGGATACAGTCATCTCCAGTCTCCAGTGAAACCCAGCCCACTGGAGAGGCTGTTGGTGGCCTCAGGGGCACACTGACTGCTGGCCAGAGACTGCAGGGCCCTGCCATGTGTGCCTCTCTCAGCACAGCAACTCTTCTGTCAGAACCAGGCCTCTGAGGGGGAATGAGTGAGAATGCAGAGAGGGTGAGCAACACAGAAGCTGCTCTGCCATTTTGTCACTTCGTTGTGGAAATGATATCCCATCATCCTGCAATATTCTGTTATGGGCAAGTCACCAGGCCAGCCCACCTGGGAAAGGAATCACTAAAATCTATTTAGAAGCTGACAGCCTCACACTGCTTCTCAAATAATGCTGAAGAAGAACCAACTTTTTTCTTTAATTCCCAATTTATTGTAGGTCAGTATATTTAAAATAAAATGGAAGTTCATTTCTAGAAAATAAAAATAAAAATATAAGCAATAAATCCATGGACCACACACTGGATCTCACAATGTCAAATCACTACAAATATTTCTAAACACACTCAATTTTATTATGGTCAGCCTTTCTTGTATGCATTTGTCAATTCAACCAAGTGTGGATTAAAGTTTTTTTGACAGAATTTGTGTCTGTATAAACTTCTGCATACTTTTTTCTTGTCATTAATCCTTAAACAATTGGGCATAATAACCATTCAGATAGCACTGACATGGTACTGGTTATCATAAGTAGTCTCGAGGGCTTGGGAGATAGTCTGGCGGTCTAAGTACCTGGCTGGCAAATGCAAGGACCGAGGATCAATTCCTGGTACCACATGCCTTACTGGCCCCAGAAACCGAGGCAAGCTGTGTCAGCCACCGAAACCGGGCGTGGTGGTACGTGCCTATAATCCCAGTGCTGGGGAGGCTGACATAGGAGGATCACTATGAGCCCAAGCTGCGTAGCAAGACCCTGTACCAAATAATAAATAAATAAAAGATTAATTTAAGGTCTGTGGGAGAGTACACACAGATTATATGCCAATAGTGTCCATTTTATTTTATTTTTTTGCAGAACCGGGGACTGAACTCAGGCCCTGTGCTTTCCAGGCAAGTGCTTATTCTACTAAGCCATCTCCTCGGCCACTAGTGTCCATTTTATATAAGGGACTTAAGCATCTGCTGGTTTTCACATTTGAGGAGAGGCCTGAAACACCTTGCAGCTAACAGGGGATGACTACACCACCTGCCTCAGAAATAGCTTGCAGAATGGTACCAATTTTAGGTGACTAAAATTGGAGTAGCACCAATGTAAGTACTGCATAAATATGGATGACTTCTTGAAACTTTTACAAAACCATGATTTATACATTTCACTTTGGTGGAGGAATTTTAGAAATAAATCTAAACAGACATCTTTCCTTCTAATCTTCACTCCATATCCATACCTAGAAATAGGACCTTTCCCTATGACTAAGATCGAAGGCATGCAGGATTTATTATGAGTCTCCAGTTTTTAATATTTTACTGTAGTCTTTCACGAGCTCTCCTTTCCACCAGTCCATAAGTGACAGAGGTAAGGCACTTTTGAAGGGAACAATGTGATAGATACTATAAAAGCATACTTTAGAAATGTGGGAGCTGGGCATGGTGGTGCATACCTGTAATCCCAGCACTTGGGAGGCTGAGGCAGGGGGATGTCTGTGAGTCTGAGGCCAGCCAAAACTGCATAGCAAGTCCCTGTCTCAAAGAGGAGGAAGGGCTTGAATGCTCTTTCTGTCCCTAGTCTATTCAGATTCCCCAAAACATACCTCAAGTGTAGCCTCCTCAATTCAACTGAAAAGGGACTTTTTTTTTTTTTTTTTTTTTTTTTTTTTTTTTTGGTAGCATTAACTGCAGAAGATCCTGGACTGCCTCACCTATTACTTAGTTTATAGCACTTCCTCTATAAACCCTGGAGTCTTCTACATGTCCCTATATTGGCACTTGAGTATATCCTTTTTCCTGTTTCTAAATTCTCACAAATTTAAATTTATCCTCCTGCATAAACCATAAACTTGCTGAACAAAAATACTTCTCTGTGGTATATTGACAACTGGTGGCCAACTCGTTACACCTAGCTCACCTGAACCAGCATGGTGCTGGGCGTGGGAGGCCCACCTTGGCACCAGCAGCACAAGAGGCAGAACTAGAAAGGAAGCTTGGAAGCTGTATCGAAGCCGAGAAGGAGCTTCTGGTTCTCTTGGACTATTCTGGGCATGACTTTGTCATGCTGCTTTCCTGATAAATTTGGCTGTTCTCATCAGAAGAGGAGCTCAGGACCTCGTTGTCACTGAGAATGGCTACTGTTCATTTGAGGGGAATTCTGGTCCTTACTTTGAATTCCCCTTCCTTGATCCAGAGGGGAAGATGGTGCACTGCTCAATCTCCTGGAAAAGCCTGTCTTTCTTGATGTGGACTCAGCGGTTCTCATCATCAGATGAGCTCATAAGGAATTTGTCACTGAGGATGGCTGTGGTAATTTTCAGGAGAGTTCTGGTCTTTACCTTGAGCACTGCTTCCTGGCTCCAGTTCAGATCCCTCAGCCTGCTAGCACCAATCCTCCATCCCACTAGTTTCCATCACTCACCTTTGGGCCTTCCCAGTGCAGATCCATGAAACAGGCCTCCATGAGGCATTACTGTGGGCTCTTGAGCTTCAGCATAGGGGGCATTATCATGAGCTCTGGGACTTCAGCTGGACTCATGCAGGACATTGCCATGGGATCTGGGCCTTAAGCTGGATTCTTTGGTCTTTAGTGTGTGCACAGATTTCCTGCACTTTTTTTAAAAATTTATTTATTTTGTGTGTGTGTGTGTGTGTGTGTG